AAATAATGTATTTATAGTCTCCCAGGCAACACACATGCAACTGCCATCAGCTACTTGACAACAAAAGAAAAAGCAAACTGGATTTTGTTATTAAAATTATGCATGAAATTAATATTCATTCAAATCAATTCATCAATATTAGGGAAGTATATAGATTTAATATAACTATCTCAAAAATTATCATTCTTTTTTAATGACATAAGCAGCAATGTAAGGAAAGTTTTTAACAAGTGTCTACCAGAAGCAGGCCAGAACAGAAAGGGTTGTTTGTTTTTTAACTACCAGTTACGATGTAACACTACTGGTCCATATCATAATAATGGTACTGTATTCACTGAAAAATTGACCAAATTATATAGAAGTTTATGCTGACACCATAATAAATATACTAAAATATAAATGCACATACCTCTTTAAATGACTGTAGTAGGTTGCTACCAGAAACTGATAGTGTAATGTCTATATGATGCATTATAAACAATGGCTCTTCCTGTGTTTGATAAGGAAAACAGGCAAGATTGTCTGCTATGTACAAGAGCATATTCACTTCTGTTTTCTGGAAGTTAAAAAAAATTGTGTATAGATATACATACAAATATTTTAGATTTATACACTTATCCTGTGTTCCTAACAGTCTAGAGCAAAAAACATTTATTTTAAACAACAAGTATATATGTAAAATTTAGTCATACCTGAAGATACATTATTTCTAAACAACACAAACTGAGTACAGAAAGGTACAAAATCATGCAAAAGTGACAAATGCATTGTATTAGGTAAATACCTTATATTACAAAGCAAAACAAATACCTTAAGGAAATAAAGTTATCAATAGCTATGTCATAAAAATACATGGTAAAATAAGAATTTAAGCTTGCAATGGTATATTTTGTTTCCTTTATAAGCAAAGAAAATGTGATGCTTACCGCAGTATCATCAAAGAGGTTGAGCAAAGAAATTAGAAATGCTCGTCTATGTTGACGGTTCCCTCGAATCATGGAATATAGGTGTGAACACAATGCATTTGATGATTCGTCGTGTCTAAAACCTCTCACAGGATCCTTTGGGCAGGTATTGATCGCCTGTTGCACCTGGTAAGACATCTTCATGCCAGCCACTGCTTTCATCTGAAATGGAAAAGTATTTTTATTTAAATCATTGCTTTCAAGCAGTAAAACTGAAAGCAGAAAATTAAACAAATGCCAGTCAACAGAAACCTCTAGCTACTCTTTTATCTTATTTCCCTTTAAGTGGTTGCATGTTTGCATGTTTGAAAGTTAAACTTTAGATGAGCTGAGGTGCACGACTACCATTTGTGGTGGCAAACAGATTAAAACAGAATTTGTGACAGAATCAAAATGTTTTGTGGACTGCTTTCACCATAACTTCTGTTAGAAACACACAGCTAATCTGTTTACCCAACGCAGCCAGGTATTCTGATGTAAACAATTTTTATGAATACTGAATGACAGAATCATAGAAAATCCAGATTTGGAAGGAACCCACAAGGATCACTGAGTACATGGAATCATAGAATCATAGAATCAACCAGGTTGGAAGAGACCTCAAAGATCATCGAGTCCAACCCTACCATCGTTACTAGAACATGGCACTAAGTGCCACATCCAGTCTCGTCTTAAAAACCTCCAGGGATAGTGAATCCACAAGTTCCCCGGGCAATCCATTCCAATGCCTGACTACTCTCTCTGTAAAAAAATCTCTTCCTAATATCCAGCTTAAACCTCCCCTTGCAGAGCTTGAGTCTATGTCCTCTTGTCCTGCTGCTAGTTGCCTGTGAGAAGAGACCAACCCCCACTTGACTACAGCCTCCTTTCAGGTAGCTGTAGAGGGTGATAAGGTCTCCCCTGAGCCTCCTCTTCTCCAGGCTAAAGAATCACAACTCCCTTAGTGTCTCCTCATAGCACTTGTGCTTGAGTC